GTTTCACGTGCTTATAAACACCCACATCTCAGTGGCAGACACACAGCCTATAAAAGCGAGTGGAAGGAAAAAGAAAAAATGCCAGGGCTCAGGAGGCAGAGGCACCCAGATCTCTGTGAGATCAAGGCCAGCCTGGTCCATAAAGCAAGTCTACAGCAAGGGCTACACAGTGAAACCCTGTCTCGAAAAACCAAGAGTGAAAGGCACTGGCTTGGGAGTCTCTGAGGGGACTTAATCAGTAGAGCCAAGAGCCCTTTCCTCTGTGCTCCATCCGCTCCCAACCAGGAAGCATCTCTGACTCTTTATGCCTTTATGGTTTTCTCCACAAAACTACAAGCATTTTTGGTGTTTCCAGGTGCTCGCATAGATTCTGTCTCACAAGTGCTCACAAATGGGTGGATGGATGGGCAGAAGGAATGAAGCGGAAAAGAAAAACATCTGGCACAGTGGTTTGTGCCCCTCATCCCTTAGAAACACCAATCATGTTCTGATGAGAGGTTGGAACATGTTCTCCCAGGATCTGTGGGAATGCCTCATGGGCACCCCAGACCCTATGCTCTGGGATTTCAAACACTGAACAAAACCTCAATGACTAACAGCCACAGCCTGGAGAACGTGGCCATCAGAGGTCAGCCACTTCCCTGTTTCCTTGGTACCCAGCAAATCCTGTGACATATAAACAGTTCTCATGAGGCAACACAGAACAAGCCAATGGCTAGGTAGAGGGTTTAGCAAAGAAGCCTTGTCCCTAGACCACACGGGCTCTTATTAATCTACAAGCCCAGAAGTAGGATGCACTGCAATGGAACACATCATTGAACTCTGACTGTCAAATGACCGAGAGTCACCCAACACTCATTCAGTCAACAAAAATTCAAAAACCTCACAGCACACTTGCTAAGGATGTGAAGGTGGGTAGGAAGGGCTGGATGACCAGGCCTGGAAGGCCTGGATGTAACGGTGGATGATGTTATCTATTTTAAACAGGGCTTCTCTGGGAATGAGGCCTGAAAAGGAGAAGGGGCAAGGTGCTATCTTCCAGGGAGGAGCCCAGATCTGAACCTTCTACCACCTAACGTGCACCGTAGAAGGGAGCGCTGGGGGGTGGTCCTGATGCTGGAGGTCAGTGGTCAGCTATTGGGTGTGCTCCTGTTTCCTCGCTGCAGGACTGAGTGGACCACCTGACACTCGGGAGGCAGACGGCGCAGCGTGTGTGTGCGCCTCTCCGCAACGTGGGCTCCTCCGGCTCCTCCCGTTTTCACAGGACCAACCCCACAGGAAGCCCCCCCTGGCTCTGTCACCATCTGCCGAATAACCCAGCCCTCCTGAACAAGGTGCCATGCTGTCCTCACGCTCTTCCCGAGCCTCCGTCTAAACTGTGTAGCCAAGCCTTACCAAACTCCATCTCCCCACTCCTATCACGGCACTAAGGTGCAAAACAGTCTCTCGCTAAATGTGTGCCAAATGCTGAAGGGGCGTGGCCCAGGTCTGATGCCTCTCAGGAGCCATAGAGGGTATCAAAGGATCTCATACCACAGCGGCACCAGATGCGCTATGTAAGTTGGTGTCTGCCCTGGTGTTGGAGGTAAGGGGCCAATCTAGATGTGGTCCTTGGGATATAGGCCCAGGCCTAGAGGTAGGAAGCGTGGCACATGCTTCTCTGGGCTGTTGTTTTGTTTTGTTTGTTTTATTAGAATCTCCACCAATCTCTAACAGACCTTAACCTCCTTAACCTCTCCCCTAAGCTTTTATGCCCAGAGATAATTTGGGGTTTGGGCCACGGCTTTTCCAAGCCACCCATTTTGCAAATCCAAACCCAAGCTGGAGCGCCCTTCAAAGCTATGGAAGCCGCTGCTGATGGCTGAAGCTGACAGACCTGGGATGGGGATGCCTGGTGTTCCTAGTCAGCCCCTCTCTTTGAATACCACAGTTACATGGGCAGAAGTTTGGCACTCGTGACTTTCCCCCCACCCCTTTTTCTCATCACATAGAAGACTTTAAAAGTCTTTAAAATAGAAACTTGTAGACTGAGTGGTAAATAGCACCAACTCCCACTTCTTTCTCTTTCTTTCTTTCTTTCTTTCTTTCTTTCTTTCTTTCTTTCTTTCTTTCTCTCTCTCTCTCTTTCTTTCTTTCTTTTTTTTTTTTTTTGACAGAAAGGGCCAGATCAGAAAAGTGCCAATCACTCTATAAGATGTGACAGTCTGTTTTACAGACTAGTACACAGAGTCTGTGAGCATCTCACCCATAGTTCACAACTAGTAAGGGGCAAGCCTGAGCTGGGTCTGCATCTATCTGATTCTAGGGGCAGAAGCAGACAAGTGCCGTCCTCAGCTGGTCCACATATGATTCTCCTCAGGGCTTCAGGGAAGCTGAGGATCACAGTCTATTAGTGCTGAGTATATAGGGATAGGCCAGGATCCATGCCCAACTCCAGAACTTCCTGAAGTCCAACATAAAAGCACCCGGGAGGGCCGAAGGGCTTGTCTGACTGATTGTGAGTTTTCCACCCTCTCTCAAGAAAAGAAAGCTTTGCATGTGGAACACTGGAAGGCAGGGATTGTGTGAAATATCACCCAAGACCAAGTTCTGGAAAAGAGCACTGCTCTCATTTTTCAGCCTTTTGCTTCTCGGGCTGCTTTAAGGCAGAGAACCTTGGAGGGGGGAAAAGGGCTACATGTACGGGGTCTTCAAGGATTGAACCCTGAATGTGTACATTTTTGCACACGTTCCTAAGATCCTATAGTGTGTATGTAATCAGAGGTGGGGTGTGTGAGCATGTGTGTGTGTGTGTGTGTGTGTGTGTTTGTGTGTGTGTGTGTGTGTGTGTGAGAGAGAGAGAGAGAGAGAGAGAGAGAGAGAGAGAGAGAATATAGATAAGGGTTTAGCATCAATCTCTTTCTCCCTCTCCTCCCTTTCTCTCCTTTTCAGTCTCCCTCCTTCCTTCCTTTAGAAATATGAAGGCACTACAATTTCCCCCTTCCTCAGAGAGATGCAAGTAAATTTTCAGTGACAGTGTGCTCCTCGCTCAGCCATCCTTTGTACAGACTCCCTTCTGTGACCGCAGCTAGGGAGGGGCGATGGAGTGGAGTGAGCCAGGCCTGGGCGGCGTGTGGAACCACCTCAGCTATTAAAGCAGATGTGGTTTCTTCTCCTTCAGGTGGGAGTGAAATCAGGTCAAGAGTGCACATGCCTCATACTTTTTTTTTTTTTTCTGAAAAGGTTTGTTTTCTGTTTTTACGGCCAACACAATGAGAAGAGGCCACAGTGCCCCTTGGGGAAGACCACCTTTCAAGTGCCTTGTCTGTGTTTTACTGGCTGTGCAATGTCATTAACTTCTCAGATTTAAGTCTGTCTCCACAAACAAGATAATCAAAGCCAAGCCCATAAGCTACAAAAGAAGCAAATGTTTTGTTGTGGGCTCTAGACACAGTGCTTGGCCCACAAACCTGCACCCCAAACATGTCAGCACACACCTTCTGAGCAGCTGCAAAGGACATCCCGCCCAGCATTGGCTTCAAAAGAATTCAGTATTTTTCTCTTGGAATAAAATGAAGGAACATAGGGGGCAAATGAACACATACAACTCTCCCAAGCACTTTTTCAAAATACTGAAATTACATTTGTGAAATTGCTTCCAGCCCTGGTAAAATACACACATGGAACAGAAACCTAAATATCTGCTAAATTATCCTTTCTGAGAGCAAAACAAAAACAATCAAGTGAAGAATGGAGGGGAATGCTGTTCACGAATAAATAGGGCCCAGGTCGAATATTTTTATAGGTTGGGGTTTACCTTTTAGCAGTGCACCCTGGGTAATGGGAAGCCAGAGGCCCCTGAACTTGGACGGGAGAAGGGAAAAAGCAAAACAAAACAAACTCTGTTGTTTTTTCCAGTTCCTGATTATGTTTTTTAAATAAGTTGAAATCAAAATGTCCTTTTTCCTAACAGCTTACACTCTTCTGAGCTGTGCCTGACCTCTCTGCACCTTCTCCCTCTGAACTCCACTGGAGCAGCTGAACACAGGAAGTGCTTTTGCTGGGGAGCTCATTCAAGGAGAGACGAGAGGCCATGTTTACCCGACAAAGGGAAGCAGAGCAGCCCGTTGTCCACTGGGCAGCCAGAGTGGAGGAGGCCGTCCCCCTGCACAGTCCGAGCGTGTCCCAGGAAGCCAGCCGGGGAAGGGTAACGTGTGAATCCAAATCACATCTCCGCCCCCAAGGCAAGTGACCCCAGACACAGGCCCTACTGCCTCTGGATCCAGGAAATAGGAATATGTATTTTGTACTTCTCCCGTGTCCTCCTGCACACTGATGTGCTTTGTAAGAGCCAAATTGCTCTCGGCAAGCGAGATAATGAAGGCCAGTGAGATGGCTCAGAGGGCAAAGGCGCTGGCCTGCTGCTTGATGACCTGAGTTCAGTCCCAGGTAAGGGTGGAAGGGAGAACTGATTCTGACCTCCATAGGCATGACGTAGCATGTGCACGCCTCCTCCCATATCAATGATAACTTTCTTGAAGGGAGATAATAAAGCTTCCCCAAGTTCTGCCATCAGTGTGGTATGAAAGCAAAGCCATGGAGCGAACAGTGCAAGGAATCGGACCAGAACCCGTGGATTTCAATGACACTGCTGGTACTTTTGTGAACTTGGACTTGATGGTTCCAATAAATTTTTCCCGCCAGAGTACTATCTGTAGCATAAGGCTATTTATTCTAAAGACCAAAGGAGTCTGCTTTCCAGAAAGCAGTGCTTGGACCACAAACTAAGTGAGTACCTTCCGTCACTGTGTGTCCATAATTTCAAAATGAACACACAGTTCCTACCTCGCAGCAGGGCGAACAGTATTTTTGTCTAGAAAGTAACAGAACTTCTGCTAAGGCAATGTTGAGCTCCGATGAGGCTAATGCTCTCAAGGACTTCACATGAACTATGTCCTCAGCCGTGCTAAGGGGTAAGCAAGGGTCGGGAGCTCTGCTCATATTAGGGGACAGAAACTTACCACCAGATACAGCATAGTGAACATGGAGAAGGAGGCGTGGCCCGAGAAGAAGGACTTCCTGCAAGAACAAGAGAGGACCATGAAAGAACTGTATTCACATCCCCAGTGTTCGCTCCTCTGTCTCCCCTTCCTAGGCTCTGACCTTGACAGCAGACACTGAATCTCGTTCACTTTTGCATCCTTGCTAGTGCTTTGGATACATGCCTGGAACACAGCATGTAAACAAGATAAATAAACAAGAGAATGAATGAATGAATGAATGAATGAATGAATGAATGAATGGGTTTACCACTGCTACAGCATAATGATTTATTTACACATTTGTCTCAATCGTTTGGCCATGGAGTTCTTCAAGCGTGTGTACTACGCCTTCTCCCTCATCTAAAGCAGAGCCCAGCACCTGCGGTGTTCAGCAGGCATTCTCCAGACTGCACTGTGTCAAGAAGGGTACCCGCTGTGTCTGTGTGGAGGTGGCGTCCTACCTGGCCTCCTGGACTTTGCTGTCTTCTCCTCTGCACCTGTAGTTGTGGATGTAACCCTCGGAGCAATTGATCTGACTGAAATCAGGGTCACAGACACTCAGGAAATGAGGCCTCAGGCGCCCGATGGACACTTTGGCGATGTCTGTGAAGGACTGGCTAATGGCACAGCCAAAAAGGAAGCAGCCCACTTGCTTGTAGAGAGCGGCCACGTAAGGGTTCTGAATGGTGGATCGGGACTTCTCCTTCAGGTAATAGATCCGGTAGAATTCCCCTGTGATAATCTGAAACGAAACCAGTGAGGGAGTTAAGGAGGGCCGAGCCGTCCTCAGAGCTAACGCTGCGACCACATTTAGTGAAGCAGGAGGATATGTTCAGTATTTAACAAGTTACAAGCTACAAAAATCCTAATTTCCTACTTAAGTACGCTTATTCACATAAACAGAAGAGAAACAATCAAAATACCAACATGGCTGTCATTTTCTTAAAAAAAAAAAATTCTTACATTGCCATAGTATCTTCGTAACAACAATAAAACCCACCAAGTAATAAATGTATATGTATGTACATACATATATGTGTGAGACTAATGTATATGTGTATATATTTACATCAAAAAAGGACTCAGCTATAGAAAACAAAAGGAAATACAAACTCAAGGGCATGATTAAGGTTTCATGTCAAGGGACCCACAGAAGCAAACCTTAGGGTTTGGGGGTGTGGTGAAGGATCAGCAATACCAGTCTGACTCTGGCGAGGGTCCCGCCTTGGTGTTGGCGTGTCCACAGTCTACAGTGAATAGCGGAGCCAGTCAGGTCCTGAGCAAACCCGGGCTCTGCCACCTACCCCCTCACACCTCAGCACCAAACCTCTCAAGCTCCACAAGCTTCAGCCTCCTTACCCCATAAAAGGAGGCGGCTCACCTTTGCAGAGTCGCTGGTTTATATGAGATGACACTGGTGGGAAAGGTCATGGAAAAAGAGACTTGTGTTTATTTAACATTTATTAACTTTCTACACTGAGGACTGAACCTAAGGCCCCACATCGAGTGACAGCTCTAGCCCTATTTTACTTTTTTCCATATATGGTATGAGGAAAACCACAACAAGGTACCCGTCTAACCGGGCCACAGTGGTACACACTTCCAATCCCAGCACTGAGAGACTTAGGCAGGAAGACCAAGGGTTCAAGGCCAGTCTGAGCCATAGTGAGACTCTGTCATAACAACAAACAGAAACAAGATTAACACTGAAATAAAAGCCAAGAAATAGTCAATATGGTGCCTCTGGGTGGCCATTCCTCAATCAGGCTGAGTTTTTTCCTTAGGCTTGAAAGCCAAAGAAGGTGGCTGGTTCGAAGGCTCTTCCCGCCATGTACTATCTCCCCACTGCTGAAACTGCCCAGCTTTCCAGCAAGCATGGGCCAGCTGTCGCTCCGTAAGGTAACTGTGGACAGCGTCTCTTTGTCACTAGACCAAATTGCCTTGGGTGATGCACAACCATGCAGCCTGCGCCCGCCCCCCCCCTTAACTCCACAGCACAGCTGTGGCCACTTCCTGGTTGCAACCCAGGCCAGGGGCAGCAATGGTCAGCTCATCACTCACCACAAAAGTCCCTTTCACACTTCCTCCCATGAAGGATGATGAACCACACTTGCCCTTTCAGTGAGCAGATACGCTCACAACCGCAAGGGAAGCAATAGATTGGCACATCCGGGCACTCCTCTGCAGAGGTTCCATTATTCCTTTACAGTGGGGTAAGGCATCAAGGCCTGAGTCTAATCCAGGTCCTCAAAGGCCCCAAAGTGTGGGGAAAGATGGTTATAGGATAAACATAGCAGCTGGGCCCAGGGAGGAGGCAGGTGCTAGAGTGGGAAAAGCGCTGACACAAGAGCCTTGGTTGATAAATGTGCTGTACTTGTGTATGCCACACTTTTTTTCAGTCACATCGAGGATGATTCTCTAGAACAGGGATGGTCAGTGTGCTTGCCCAGTTATTCCCTGAGAAAGCAGAACTAACATTTAACTCCTTATAGGTGATCAGAAAACGGTCACTGAAGGAACAGACAATGTCAGCGAGCGGGGGAGAAGACAATCTCGGAGAGGCACTGTTAGAAATTTCCCCTAATCCTTGCCAAGGTCCTTCTGATAGCATGCCACAGAGATTGAATCTGAGCAGCATGGCAAGTCTGACTATGCTGCAGAGACCGGGGCCCTAATTAAAGTGCAGACAAAGAGTGAACCCAGGCACACACACTCTACCCTTCCCATTCTTGATCCACTTTCCTCTTCCAACCTGTTTACACTTTTACCCTGTGGAATCTTACAGGCTAATATGTTCCAGATGTGCTTACAGGCAAGGGGATGGCCACTGAATGAGGGTATCAAGTGGCCACGGCTAGAGTCCTCACTCACTGGGTGACTTTGGAAAAGGTCAGCTTCTCTATTGGCAGAATCATGGTTTATACTTCATAATAGCGATGACGTTTATTTTCGAGCTTCTGAGTGAGCATCTAACCAAGCAGAGGCAACAGGTCGCAAAGAGCAGAGAAGAGGAAGGTTACTTGTGAAAAACACCAATAAGCAAAGAGCAGAACCAAGGCCCTGGGCACAATGCCTGCCCCTTGGATTGCTCCTGAGTTTCTGAGATCGGGCCACTGACTTAGTCAAAGGAATCCTGGCTCCAGCATCATCCAGTGTGATTTTTCTGTTCATGGTGAGAAAGAATACGTGGGGTTTCTCTTGCAAATTAGCGTCTTTTATATGGACTTACTAGTTAATTTCAGAGTCACTTCTGTTTAGGACACTTCAGGAAGAAAGGGTTTTATCACAATTTGAGGACTTTCCTTAGCCCTGACCTCCCAACATTCTGATACCCCTCTGGTGTGGCCATCTCAGAGAGCTTTTGATTGCTGATCCTGGTAGTGAGGGGAGATCAAGAGAGAAAAAGAGATAGCTGATAGTTCAAACTCCTGACAATAAACAACGACCATTTCTCACAGGTCTTTAAACTGTAGCTTCATTTGGTCCACCACTCTATCCACATGGCAAGCCCACTTTACAGATGGGGGTGGGGGGGGCGCTCTGAAGGATGGAGTCAGAAAATGACAGAGAAATGAAGTCCACTGTCTCTCAGTTCCAAGACGTGGGTCAGGCAACCCAGGGATCAGCTTTTAGTTCTGTCGTTATGGAGACCATTCTCTAAGGTGGAGGAGCAGTTGTACGTCTCCAGGACGTCTCCAGGACGGACAGACTGAAGCTGCTGAGCAGACGTAAGGCTGCCGGGACCACTAGCTTCTGGAGCAGCCCTGACAGATTTGCACAGTTAATGAGCAGCAAATTATGTATTTTCTCCATCCCCTCGTACAGAAGGGTCGAGGAGTCGACAACACAGCCATAAATCATCATTATGAACCAGGGGGACACGGCTTCTTGTAATCCTAACCCTTAAAGGCTATTTAATGAAACCTGGGAGAGGCGGGGGCTTGCACCATTCCCTGACACGTTACTCGCCTACTCTGGAGTTTCAGATTTACTGCTTTCGGACTTTATTCATTATTCACAATGTTTTCATTCCTGGGTCATAAAATGAGCACCCCCGCCCCAAGGCGGGGTCCCTACCCCCAGGGCCTTCATTCCTGCCTCAAGTCAGCAAGGTTCTGATATGTAAATTTCACTTTGGAAAAAAAAATGCCTTGTATGTTGATCTCTCTCTGAAGCAGCTAGCAGCAGATCTGGGGGTGGATGGCTGCCAGGCCAGCAGAGAACTCTCCCCTACCTGCCTTTTAAGGCGCTTGGCCCAGAGTCTGGAAACTCATACAGAGGAAAGCATGGCAATTAAGCTACAAGGGGACAGAAAGGGACGGGTCCCCGGCCAACAAGCCCGTGGTTGGGAAGTTGTCTACAACTGTAAGAGAGAGCCTCTTCCTGCCTTTTTGTGGTGAAAAAGAGGCCCAGCTACCCACATCTTTACAGATATTAACTGTTCTGGAGGGGAAATGGGAGAGGAACATTGGGCCAGGCTTCGTGGGAAGGACAGGACATGGCGTGGAGAAAGAGGCAGCAGCCTGGGAGCCAGTACGTCTCAGTCTGATCCCATCTATTACTTCTCAGCCAGATGACTTCACCTGTCTGGGCTTAGGTGTCCCCTCATAGAAACTAGCATTAATAATATCCACCTGGTGAGACTGGCAGGGAACGCAAGAGGCAGTATGTCAAATACCTGGCACTTCCACGGGTTCATTCTGGCTTCTTTTTTTTTTTTTTTACTTTCTTCTTCTTACATGATTAGGGGGGGGTGGGGGGGGGGGAATCAGAGCCCTATTTATTTCCATGAGTTCTTTGGAAAGGAACGTTTCAAACTGGACATGGGACGCATTATCTGCCAGGGTAGAGGCAGAAAATACACGTGTGGCGATGCTGGTTTTGATACTTCCAGGAAACAAAATAGAAGAAATGAAACCCATTGCAAGAGGACTCCACCCCAACCCCCACTCAGCTGCTCTGTGTTATTTTAGACATTCTGCTCTATTTATAAATCACCCCCCAAAAAGCAGTATTTTTACACAGTATATCCTAACAATGCCTCTTCTAGACACTGAGGTCTCTTCCTGCCCTGTGACTCTGACGGGCTAATGTTCCTGTATTCTGTTCTGCTTTAATACTATTTACACCGTCTTTTACTGCTTACAAAGTACTTTTCCCTCCTTGTTGTCTGTTTCTCAAAGCACCAGGAAGGTCACTATATATATATATGATTACTGACGCTTTTTAAGTGAGAGTGGTGAAGGCTAGGGAGGCCAGTGTGAGTCACCCTGAATTAGAGAGAGATAGAGATAGAGAGAGAGAGAGAGAGAGAGAGAGAGAGCTTGGACATCCCATCACCAATGCCCTCTCACTGCTGTGTTCTTCCTGAAGGTACCACTGCTGGTTCTTTGAAGTCCTAGCAGGGAGCTGTTTTTATGTCCCCAAACCAAAGACATACAGGTAAGATGATCTTCTACTCTCGTAGTGTACTTGTATGTTTAAGTCCTTGTTAGCCACCATCCAAAGTTGTTTGCTTGTTTTTCCCTACCCCCACATCTCATGTGTGTGGGTTAACAAACTTCTTTGTGCCCATAAGAGATTCATTCAACAAACACTTGATGACAGAGAATCATTTTTCTCAATCTCAAGGCTAAGGAACAATGTAATATACTTGGTTCTGCCTCTCAAGATGGAGTCAGGAACGGAGCTGTAATTTCTCTGAAGCCAAACGTTCCATCTACTAGAAGAAAAAAAATTACC